CTGCCAAATCCATTCTAGTTTATATGACTCTCTACTCATTCATAGAGTCAAGCACCAGACACTTCATCAAACATCAAAGCTGACATGATAATCAAAACCGAAAAAAACTGCACCTTCAGATATACAATGAATATATAATGTATCACATGAAAAAGAACTTGTAAATGATGAAGTCTATTCAAGGCACTGCACATAATACCTTAAGATGTACAGCGGAAATACAAGGGAAGGGACCCAAAACAAAAGGGTATTTCTGTGTGGCACCTAAAAAGATGAGAGGCTGCAGGTGAGGAAATGCTGGTTCCCCTCCAGATGAGAACCTTCTTTCCAGCTTACATCATCTCTGTCTTCTTTTTGACAGCCATAATATACTGTAAAATTTTGATGTTCTTTCAATCTATAAAATCCCAAAATATTTTTGAACATATGCTATTACATTGTCTTCCCCACTTGAGCCTGTCACTCTTCCCATCAAGTGCTTCTATAATTGGGAGGCGGGTTGGTGGGAGAGGAGAATTACTTTTCCCTCTAAAGGAAAAGGTAGGATTTTATGTTTATTCTGATCTTGCTATAGCTTGTGTTTAGATGGTACAAGGCTAGGCTCAAAGGTACTAGGATTAAGCATGCAAGTGCTACACACCCTAAGAACTCTGGATAAAATAAAAGGAGCAAAAAAAGAGGCTGGTAAGTTCCCTTGTTGCTTTGCTACTTTCTGTCTTCACGAACTGTTTCCCCTCTGTCATGCGTCACCTGCCTTGGAACCAGCCAATTATACGCTGAAATCTCCACAAACTGTGAGCTAAATAAACCTTTCCCCTTTTAATTTTAGGTGTCGGGTATTTTTTCTCAACGATGACAGAAACAACTAAAACAAGTCTATACCACTTACTTAAAAGGACATCTTGGCACATCATATTTCCTCCTAATGATATGTTTCTTCTAAATGAGGCCAGTCTTTTTGTGCCATAGTACAATCTAGATTCTCAGCCTGCCAAACTTTAGTTTTTATTTCTGATCAGGCAGGATTACATTCTACTATAAGGCAATGAATAAAATATTAAAAAAAAAGAAAGATTCGGCAAAATTGAAGTCCACTTTACAGGATTTAAAATATATGGGGGCTGGGGATTTAGCTCAGCGGCATAAGCACCTGCCTTGCAAGCAGGCGGTTGAGTTCGATCCCCGGTACCAATTAAAAAATAAAGTTAAAATAAAAGAACTTAAAATACACAGAATGCTAAAATATTCTGTGTAGGTCAATAACATTTTGCTGCTGTGCATTTATCTCAGTTGGAAAAAAATCTCCTGGTTTAGTGTAATCTACCTATGGTAATGAGTCAAACATGATGATCAAGAGGGAAATGTCTTAAAACATCCTGGGATCCAACTCACTTTAAATACAGTATTGGAAGCTGTCCCAGGCTTACAAACCTGGATAAGCACATGTAATTTGTGTGAATTTAGTTTAGCTTGTATTGAGATGTCCATGACTCTCAGAAAAGGGAAATTCCATTGAGGTTTCCTGTCTCGTTTGTTTCAGTTCAATAATACTTAGAGTGGCCAAAGTTGTTTTTCCCCTTTAAACACATTTTCTCCTTTTACTGACACATACGGGCGCATGCACACATGAGGTGGAAGATGAGCACTCATTCTCCAGTGAAATCTGCTCACTTGTGCACACAATGACATAAGCAATGTAACACATGTATCATTTCTAGTACTAATGCATTTAGAGCAAGTTTTAGATCAAAGACTTAAATCAAAACCAGCAATGCCAAGATTCTCAATTAGGCACATGGTTTTGGAAGTGAATTCTTCTTCTAATCAGGAATAATTGTTATATGTTCATGAGAATGTTTTTACTGAGTAATCACTGCATACAGATGTATACTATTGAAGAGAAAGTCAGGTAAGCTGTGATTATTTATTTATGTGCATCACCATTACAAAGATAAGATAGCCTCTTCATCATTTGAAGAGAGATTTAGTGTAAGTTAGAAAATTCTTCATCAAAATTAATATCCCTAGAAATGGTCTATGAAGGAGATTCTTTTAAAAATGAAACTTTGCAAGCTGTAAAAAGAGAGAAGTCATTTTGACTGAAGCATATAAAATAATGAAGTAGTCTGAAAACTGATGAGCTGCTTCAGCCATACCAGGCACCTAAAGAAAAGAGAACATGGGCAGTGGGACCTTCAGTTTGGTCCTGGGGGAGCCAGCGTGGCCCATGTGAATCTGCTGCCTCCTCCTTCTGCAGCTGCAGGCCCCCTGACATGGCCAGGCAATGCCTGACCACTCAGAAATCCTGAGAAAGCAGAAGCTCTTTCCAACAGGTAAGCTCTCAAACTATCTGGGGTGCCATCTACCAGGTGGCCAGAGGCCAGAGGAGGAAAAACAAAAGCTGTCGCACATTGAGCAGAGTTCTGGTAGTTTCTCATCGCATAGGCTTTTCTACAGACTGCAGAATTTCCATTCTTAAGTTCCATGAGAAACCCCCTCATGGTGATCCCAAAGCTGTCTCACTTGTTAGTGATCTCCAGTTGGTTTCTGTAAATTGCCAGCCTGATTTTGGTGGACCAGATAACAAAAGATAATAAAATATAGGAGATTTGGGTAATCATTTCCCTTTAGTAACACTCAGTTCTTTGCCTCTGAAATGAGTATAAAACATATATATTTATATCAATCTGATAATTCAACACTAACAATTACTGTGGTACCTGTTACTAGGAAGCCTCACACATGGCCTCCTAAGTCTTTAAGTACAACATCCTGGGCTTATTGTCTCTTACATAATTCAGTGCTGCCACGTGAGCTGTTAGGATGCACTGTCCACTTTTCATAAAAAGTAGTTATTTTAACCACCTTTGATTTGTAACTTAATGGCATTTAAAGGGTAGTACATGGCAGACAATTAAAGATCTCCTTTGTGAGATTTTAACTGGTTCAATGGATAATCAACTTCATAGTCATATCATAAAATTGTTTAATTTGTACACTACCTCTAGAGGCATCCTGAACATGTGACATATTTTTATTAGGATACATATATTATGTGTTCATTGCACAGGTAACTTGTGGTTTTCTGCACACAATTGCACCAGTAATAGTTGTCTCCTGTGCTTCTCTGTTATATTGCTTTGGACATATTACTTAACCTCTGCTATGTCTTCCTCACTCTGTTTTCTCTGTCACTTGATAGGAGAATTAAACAAGAGGAACAAGGATATGATATGAAAGGACTTTTTTTTTAAGAAGTAAAGGACTACACAGAGACAAGAAACCATCTCTCGTATCAGATGTGTAATAAATTCATAACCTGAGGAACACACCATGAATCTAAAGCAGCTTTCTTTTCCTCTGTCCTTTCTTCGTAAGAGTTTAAATAGCTGCATGAAAAGAAAAAGTTCGGCCTCCTTTGGTAAATTGATGGCAAGTCTTCATTAGAAAGAGATCTTTTCAAGAAAAAGACTCAAAGTCTTTCCACTATCCATGTGTGGAACATCTGTGCGAAAGCTGTTCTATACACACTTCTCTGAAGCACTGGCTGCCTAGGGGAAATACTTTGATTCGGGCTTTATTTAAATACCTGAACTGCTATTGAAAGCACAAAAGATTTTCTGGTAAGAGCTCACTTGGGAATAAGATCAACCTCCAACCAGTTTAATCGCTAGGAGGCCAAGTGGCCTGGAATTTCTTAGAACCTCGTGCAGTGGAAATCTCCCTGAGAACTCACAGCACAGCAAACAGCTGGCTTGGGACGCTACTGACCTCGGGTGCAATCACTGCGGTAATTAGATTTAATTTTCTTAATTCAACAGTGCCTGACTCCATCATGTCTATGTCTCCTATGTAGAAAGTCATTACTCTCCTTTAATAATACTTTGACATGCTTAAAGACATTTGCAGCCATTCCCTCATTTTAGAAATCACTTCTATGGGACAGTAAACACGGCCATTCAAGCAGCTTTAGGCATCAAAGAGTTGAATTTGGCGGTTATCCTAGTTCCATAACTTTCCAGAGACATCTTAGACATGACACAGACCTTAAACATTATTATACCACTTGCTCTGCACGCCTCGTGTATCCTTGTGACAGTTCTTTCAAAAAGATGGCATCAGTCATGAAGTCACTGGCGGGCTCCAAGGTTTGGGTATCTAGTGTGTCTGCAAACCTAGGGGAGTCTGGCTTCAGGCTCCCACTTCCTGGGGCTCCTCACTCCCAAAGAGAGATGGGGCTGTGGACAAACCCATCTCCCGGGAAGGAGAGACTGAAAGTCAGACATGCATCCGTATCCGCTTGCGTCTGTTTATGTTGCAATGAACAGGCGTCGGTATTGTTATCTCGGGAGACCGGGCTGTTTTATGTGTGTGTGCGTTAGGCGTGCTGTGTCACGAAGCTGGCTGGCATCGCGCAGCGCGACGCGGTACCGTGTCCCTGGGAATCATAATTGCTTGGTCGGTTAAAAAAAGAACATCAGACCGTTGCCGATGATAGTATCAGGTGCATTTTGATAATAGAAAAGAGGGATCACATGGAGGCACACAAGTTCTCAGTACGTCTTAACACCCCAAGCCACCCCCAAACCCCGCCGCCAAAAAAGAAAAAGAAAGAACAAGAAGAGGGAGCCTGGGCTGCAGGAGCGTTCCAGGGAGCGAATCGCTCAGGACTTCAAACACTGGGAGTCATTCTGTCAAGGGGAGGGGGCGGGCGGGGGCAGGCTCCGGGCCTCTTTAACAAAGTCCTCCTCTCTTTGCTCCCTCCCACTTCATTCACTTGCAAATCAGTGTGTGCCCACAAGAGCCTGCTCTCCCGAGCCCGTAACCTTCCCATCCCGAGAGCTGCAGTTTCAGCCGCGGCAGCAGGAGCGGCGGAGCCGGCCGCAGCAGGAGCAGCCTGGGCGGGTCGCAGGGGCTCCCCGGGCGCTGGCAGGCGAGCAGAGGTGGGTTCGGGCTCCGGTAGCGGTCCCGGTGGTTATGCATGCATTTTCCTTTTTTTTTCTTTTTTAAATAATGTGCGTGGATGGAAGCCAATCAGAGCGAGAGCGAGCCCTCTCCGCCCCGCGGGTGCGGCGCGCGGGTCCGGGAATGCTCAGCCTGCGAGGCGAGCGGTGCGCCGCGCGGTCCGGTGCGCGCGCTGCTGCCGCTGCCCAGGACGGCGCCGCTGCCGGGGGAGCCGGGCGCGCGTCTCCGCTCCGCTCAGGGTAAGACTGATCCCGCGTCGGGCTGGGTGGGGGCGCGGGAACCGGCCGCCTCGGAAGGGCCCGCTGCTTCCGTCTCTGCCCATGGGGTCTGCCCTGCAGCTCCGGCGTTTGCAAAGTTGGCTGGTCAATTACCGAGGGCGCTGGTGCGTGCAGGACCGGCGCGGAACCGTTGGGGGCTGGATGTATTTCCACCTGCCTGCATTACGAGGGTCTCCATTGGGGATGGTTTGGGCTGAGTTACATTTCTTGGCTTTGGCACTAATGTAGAAATTCAGATAGTCTTTAAACTCTGGATTGCTCCCAATAAGGAAAACTTAAAAGAGATGATTTGGCTGAGAGAAGGAGCTAAAGAAAATTGTTAGCTTGCACGTTCAGGGCAACGCCTGCTGGCTGGTGTAGAACAGAAATGCTTAGGTTGCAAGGAAAGTCCAACGTTGGACTCCGAAAATGGAGCGCACTGTCCAAGGAAAAGTCATGTGGAAGACGCAGCTCGCTCGTGCTTTTCCAGGGCTGATCAGGCACAAGTCTGCGGGGAGAGCGCCTTCCCGGGACTGGTTGGAGAGAGGAGCGTGGGCGCCTGGCTTTGGGTGTCAGTTGTAGGAAAAACCGAGCCCACGTTGCGCTCATCCGGCATGTAATAGAAGGGGGTGGGTAGTGGTGTAGCTGCAGCCGTCGCAGCTCTGGGACCATTTCTGTGGTGAGATTCTCCTGCCAAGCCAAGAGTTACCGTAGATCTTCAGACTGGAGGCTCTGGCCAGGTCAGCGCGGTTTTGGGAAAGCGTTGTAGCTGCTGCAATGAAATCCATATTTTATGGAGAGTTAAATGCAGGTCTCTGTTAATGCAGGGAGCTGGCAACTGATTTAACTACTGAGCATATTCAAGATACACGAGGTCTAATCTGCTGGGATACACTTTTCGCTCCACTTTTTTCCGAAAGACGTTGTCATGATGATAGGGGTGTAGTATACCAGCCCGTATCTCTGGCCTATTTCACTTTCACTTACGGAATGAAACACATGGTGCAGGAAAGGTTTTCCAGCAACCACAACGTTGCTGGGGTATACATTATGTGACTGCTCTGGGGGATTGCAAGAAGCAATTGTAGGCTTCCTGAGTGGCTGATTACCCGGAGGTGCAAACTCTTCTGTTTTCTCAAAGGAATGGGGATATACTTAGTTACTACACGACTATTCCAAGGATGTGTAACAAATATGCTTATGCAAACAGTGACCAGACAAATATGCATATGCCAGCGGTGGCCAAAGATTGCTTATTTCCTTTGTTTTCTTGCAATATCTTTACCTGAAAAGAAAAACATTTAGGATTGTACTTAAGGAGAGGGAAACAATGAAAAAAATTTCTCTTCCAGTTAGCTTGAGCACCATCCTTTGTGTACTAGCCCTTGCATGGCTCTGTGTTTGCTCTTTTAGAGACTCAGAAAGCCAGTTGTGTGGAGAGAGAGGATGTGATGGAGCAGATGTCTTCGTGATGTCATAAAGAGGAGGGTAGAGTGGATGCCAGAGGCCAGATTTTCAATGCAGAGCTCAGGAGCCTGAAAGAAATCGAACAATTGACTGCAAAATACAATCACATAGGATCCTATCTCATCCCACTTTGCTCTTGGTGTGTTCCAATTTAAAGGGGGGAGGGGTTCGGAGGGAGAGAAAGGGTAGATACTTCCCACCAAGTTTCATGTGTCATGCTACACTTTTGAAGCGGAGAAGGTAACTAATTGCTTCAGAAAAACGTAAGAGACAGCTACACATTTTTGCAGGAAAATGGCATTGGTTTAGTACTACTGTATTTGTCCACAATTATCTTTTGCTACCATTAGCAGAAAGTGACAGGCTGATATCTCCTTAGGGACTTTTAGTCCCTTTATCAGCTGGCTTTTCCACCAATTTCTTGCAATTATTTTTGCCAGTGCTAACTCTGCAAAGTTAATATATGGAAACACAATCATTTTCTACCAAGTTGCTTTCTATCACAGATGTGTACCTTCCATCCTCCACCCACCACTTCCATCAGCCTTGAAAGAAAAATTTACTGTGAGGCATTCTTCCCTTTTAAGGAAGAGATTATCTTGCAAAATACTGTTTGAGATACTTAAATACAACTAAAATTTCTAGAAAGCACAGCTACTGTCATAGTGCCTTCACTGTGTCAATAAGTTGGAATAACAAGTTCTGAATGTGTAATTAAGGCTAATTGACTGACTGCTCCACATAGAGCTTTAGAAAGAAAGAGACAGATGTGTGTCTTAAGAAATTATTGTGTGGTACCCCTTTTTCTGGCCCTGCTTGCTTTGAAGTCATGATGGCAACCTAACTGAAGCTGCATCTTTTGAATTACTGCAACTTTTTTAGTTGGAAGGGACCTCTAGTGGGTCACTCTATGCATTTTTCCCTGTGGTTCATTCTCAGTATACATTTTCCTATCTAAGATAATAAGAGCATAACAACTTTTTCTCTGCAGGCAAGTTAGTATTCTTTCAACAGTATCTTGATATTTGTGCCAAGTCAAAATTATTGTTATTGCTGTCAGTAACAATAACAATTACTATTATTGCTAGCAAAAACTTGCTTTTCTATAGTTCCCCTACGTTAAGGGACTCAGGAGTATTTTCACAGTTGTGTAAGTACCTAGACTTCTGGCAAATGTGCTGTGATTCCCAAAGAAAGAAATGGCCAATTAATAAAGAATTTACTACCATTAATATGATAGAAGGTGTCATATTTCTGGCCTTGCCAAGACTCTACTTCCTAAGTTCCAAATTATCTAATAAAAGTGACCTTATAGTTATGACTCTAAAAGTTCCACTTGAACAACTCCCGCCACTAAAGAAATACATGCAGAGAAAAATTTAGTCTTTTAGAGATTGGTGTACATTCACAGATTGTATTGAAATTGTAGCTTCTAACGAAGGTTTCCATTCAAATAAGCATATGTAAAAAGTCCCAAAAGATGCTCAGATGCATGTGTTGCCCTTTTTTTTTTTTTTTGGCTCGTGTGTGTGTGTGTGTGTGTGTGTGTGTGTGTGTTACCGTCTTTTTTTGATGTATCATCACAACACATTTTAGATAACATGCTCCTTTGAAAACTGCTGGAACTTGGGGTCGGATAAGTTCTGGAGGTGAATCGGCCCCTTCTGCTGACAATCTGCAGGTTTCAACTTCCAATTTAAAAATCTGTTCTAAAGTTTGAAATGTGTTCCAAATGAGATAACATCCAGCATAAGCCAGTTGCCTTGTGAAGTTTGCTTAGTCACTGCAACTCATTCTTTGGGGTCCATCAGAATGAGGGTCTTGCTTATAAAAGTAATAACCAGTGATTCAGTCAGAATTGCGTTTTTAATAGTACGTCAGCCTCGCCAATGTCTACTATTTGCTTTGCAAAATAAATCAAAAATGTATCTAATCAAACATTCTCTGGTTTAAGTTTTTTTCTGAATAATAATTCTAAACATAAAGACTGAGAACATTCAGGTAATAGGAGAATTGCAGAAAAAAAGAAAGTTAAACACATACAGCATTTAGTTATGAAATGTTCCTTCTTTTGTTTTTATTTATTTTTTCTCCATTTGGGTTTTTATCTTATTGTACAGACAGATGAGAACTAGAAGAACTTTCCTGGATCTAAATAGTACATGCTTACCTCTCACAAAGATCCAGTGGCCTACATTTGAAAGTTCTTATTCCTGAAAAAGATTCCCTTTTTCAAAATAGTTTTAAGAGGAACTTCAGGTTCTCACTCATTGACCATTGAACCAGCTGAATATAGTCTTTGTGGCATTCTCGCCTGCAAAGGAAAAAGATGAGGGAAGACAAAAGTGCAAATAACCCTTCCAAGAGGTGGCGCACCTTCATTTATCAGAAAAGGGAAATAAAGTCAGAATTTTAAAGCCAAAAACAATTGGGCCAAAGAAAATCATCTTCAATCAGTAGTCTAGCTGTTGAAAACTGAACTATGCAGGAAATTTTCAAATCTTCCAACAGAGTTACTTACTGAAAATAAATGTTCTGTGCACACACTCAAAAATGTGGAGTAGGTCCACGTGCAGGGCGTGCTATTTCTCTCCTCCCTGCAGATTAGCAGAGATTATTTCACCTTGCTTCCTCTGCTTAGTATCTTTACACTACGTCATTGGAAGTGTCTGCTTAGCAATCAGAGCACCTTCCTGAGAGATAAAAGAAGACTTTAATGAAAGTCAGAATGTTACCATTACATTTGGTTTGCAGTGGAAATAAGCATTGTGGGTTGCAGGATTTCACTAAGATATGCAGTGAGTCTCATGGAAGAGAGCAGCTTATGAATAAGTTGTAGAACATAAAGCTAAAGTACCAAGGGGTGATTTATGTTTATGTCTCATCACTTGAAAGAGCACTGTGTTTTTCTCTTCCTTTCATTTCCTGAATGGGTGAGTATGGAAAAAAAAAATAAGTTTTGGACACTTAATATACAAACTACAAGAAAAAAATTGCATTGAAGTGCTGTCCAAGTGCATAAAATGAAAAGAGGCAAAAAGGTAAATTTTTACATGAGGGAGGCATAAGACTCAAAGTAGAATCAAAATTACTACCAATACACAGAACGTATTTTCCTCTTTATGAATGGTGCTACCATTAAATACAATTTTATAAACATGACTATATCTCTAACATGTTTGTACACACTATTCTTTTGTATCATAGAATGCAAACTTGAAAATTGTCTTTTAAAACACTACTGTCTAAAGGAGATGATGGTGGGTGATCATAAGTTAACCAGAGGAGTATTTTTGAAATGGAATCTGAAACTTCATTAGAATCAAGGAAGAAGTTGTCTTAGTACTTGAAGAATGTCAATTCTTTTCTTTCTCTTATCTTTGTTGTCCTGCAAGCTAAATAGGTAAACTATGTGTTTCTGTAACGCAAAGTATTCAATAATAATATGGACCGAATATGCTTCCGACCCATTTGGATCTTATGCATGATACAGCATCCTGAAAGACTGACAGACA